ATGTTACGTATTGTTATTAAGATCTTATTTTTATTACACGATACTACGATATGAATTGCACTTAATAGATTTAGATTATTAATATGCCAAGATAGTTGTTATTTCAATATGTATAGTGAGGTATGTTCAGCATTATTGTTGGTGAAGACATGTATTGATTTCGCCTGCGTTGTGTCATATTCGTATCTTCAGTATTGGGACATTGAAGATATGCTTGAACTCATTTTGTTATTTACTGCGAACAAATATTAGAAATTGTATCACTTTGAGTCACACCCGTTTTGCCAGATAACGTGAACAGCGCCGTCTCACTGGTCTCCAGCTACTGAACCCAATTTATGCAGTGCCGTCCTATGGGCCTATCGGTCCACAGCATATCCGTTCTACGGCGCGATGTTCTCGCGTGAGAATGTGGAGGCATAACAATCCATTATAATTGGCAGTACCACTGTTAACAATTACGAAATTCAACACTGTAAGAATAAGTCCAAGGAGATGTGGCCTAAAGCTTGCGTTTAGCACAATCCATCGTAGTACAGAACACCACATACCTCAATGTACTTTGCGCTGAAAAAGGTGAAAGTTCATAAAAAATGAGAGAGAACAAAATTTTACGCCACATCTCCTTGGTTAACTTATTCTTACAGTGTTGAATTTCGTAATTGTTAAAGAAAAGTGTATCATACCAATTCATCATTATGGATTTATGCCTCAACATTCTACACTCGACGAAGAACATCGCATAACAAGCAGAACAGAGGATGCTCTCATGCGTTCGATAGGCCCATAGGACCATGGCTTACTACATAAATTAAGATTCAATGCTTCAGAACCAATCAGGGACAAGCATATTCCACGTTACATCTAATAAAAACAGGTGTAATCCAAGAAAGTGTCCTTGGATCTTTCCTATTAATTTTGTTCACTAGTGATAATAAAGTGGAGTTGTCCAAGAGAATGCTATCTTCAATTATCCAAATACTGGAAAGGATACAGATATGGTGCACAACTTTAAACTAGACGAAGTCAATACATGTAAACTACACCAACAATAGTGCTAGACATACCTCCTTATATACATATTGGAAATGAAGTAATATCTTGGCATGACAATGAATGCAAATCTGAGTTGGAAGGAGCACACACAAAAAAAAGTTGCAGACCTAAACTTAAAAATAAGCTGGCTAATCGGTAAGGAATCATCGTTAACAATAAAAAATAAGATCTTAATTTACAATCATTGAAACCAATGTGGATATACGGAATTCGAATGTGGGATACAATGCACCGATATACATCTAAGCTGTGCAAATGTTCCCAAGTAATATGCAATTCGGATCTAAATCACAACGCTCATAAAATGGTCCGCGAAGTTATCCGCGAAACAGCACCAAAATATGCAGAAACGTTACATAATAATGTAATAGCTGAAGCCAGAAACATAGCAGAGTCTAGAAATATCAGGCGCAGACTTAAACGATCAACGTTTGACGAGCTTTCAACAAAATAACAAATATTGCACTAATTAGTTTCTGAAAAATAGCATTTTAATGAAATGTAACAGACCAGCACTACCGAAAAGTTTATCGAGGCCGTTTAAATCTCGCTTTCTTCTGTGTAATGCTGCGAGTCATTGTTGAGATTGGATTTTTTTTCTCGGGGTTTGGCATTTTAGCCAAAACTATAATAATAATTATTATAATTATTTTTTATGATATACTTAATATTTTTAATTTTTATACATACTTAGTCCTGCCATACGTTTTATTATAGATTCAGGCCGTTATAAAAATGAAACAATAAAACATATTTTAATTTTATTTAATAATGAATATAATAAATGATGAAAAATGCGATGTACAAGATTTTATTAGAAAAGGTCACCTTTTGCTTTCACACAAGACCTCAAACGACTAGGCTATTGATCAATTGCAACACGCACAGTTGCTATTGGTGTTGACGACGCTGCTCGAACCAAAAATTTTTTGACACTCTCCAAATTTCTGTGGGGTTTTCGACAAGCCTTGTTTTCCAACTCTGACGACATACTGTAGTCAATTCAGGACTTCCATACTGCCAATCATCTGCTGATAAGAAACCAGGAATACTGCTTTTAAGTCACTGCTAGGAGGTTTTCGTCTTGTGTGCACAAAGAGAGTATTGCTTAACTGCTTTATGCTAAAGACAGACATATGGTGGCCGTAATATAATGTGTACTACAATAAAAGCTCAGGAAACCACGTACCATATCATACAAGCAAAGTGACACATATATGGTATTCTATAAGTTTGGCATTCATCAGCTGAGGCAAAAAAGTTAAAATCAACTAAAAGAAAATAAATCTAAAACAGAAGAAAACAAGTTACTTCTAACAGAAAATAATCTGATTTATTTTATTACCTGATAAGGAAAATTAAATATTTTACATTATCTCTACGGGCATTAAAATATAGCAATATAAAAGATTGATTTTAAGAAAAGGGCTTTGCAACAACATTTTTTTCATATTTTGTTTTAGATTTTTTTCGGTTATTTTGATTTTTAATTTTTTTTTTACATGTCAAAGTGGCATAAAATATATGACTCTGGCAGAAAGGCCTAAAGCTTTGCGTGTTTTTAGTACAATCCATCGTAGTACATTACAGAACACCACATAATTTCAATGGTTTCTTGAAAAAGGTGAAAGTTCATAAAAAATGAGAGAGAACAAAATTTTACGCCACATCTCCTTGGTTAACTTATTCTTACAGTGTTGAATTTCGTAATTGTTAAAGAAAGTGTACTATACTAATTCATCATTATGTAGGATTTATGCCTAACATCTACACTCGACGAAGAACATCGTATAACAAGCAGAAATAGAGGATGCTCTCAGGTGTCTTGATAGGCCCATAGGACCATGGGCTTACTACATAAATTAACATCTCAATGCTCAGAACCAATCAGGACAAGTACATTCCACGTTACATCTAATAAAATAGGTGTAATCCAAGAAAGTGTCCTGATCTTCCCTATTAATTTTGTCTACTAGTGATAATAAAGTGGAGTTGTCCAAGAGAATGCTATCTCAATTATCCAACACTGGAAAGGATACAGGATATGGTGCACAACTTTAAACTATTAGACGAAGTCAATATACAAACTACAATCTTCAACAATAGTGCTAGACATAATTCTTATACATATTGAAATGAAGCAATATCTTGGTACGACAATGAATGCAAATCTGGATAGCGACACAAAAAGTTGCAGACCTAAACTTAAAATAAGCTACACCGGTAAGGAATCAATGTTAACAATAAAAATAAGATCTTAATTTACAATCATTGAAACCAATGTGGATAATGGAATTGAATGTGGGATACAATGCACCGATATACATCTGGCTGCAAATGTTCCCGGCATATGCACTGGATCTAAATCACAACGCTCATAAATGGTCCGCGAAGGTCCGCGAACAGCACCAAAATATGCAGAAACGTTACATAATAATGTAATAGCTGAAGCCAGAAACATATAGAGTCTAGAAATATCAGGCGCAGACTTAAACGATCAACGTTTGACGAGCTTTCAACAAAATAACAAATATTGCACTACTAGTTCTGAAAATAGCATTTTAACAGAAATGTAACAGACCAGCACTACTGAAAAGTTTATCAGAGGCCGTTTAATCTCGCTTCTTCAGGTAATACAAGAGTCATTGCTGAGATTGATTTTTCCGGGGTTTGGCATTTAGCCAAAACTATAATAATAATTATTATTATAATTATTTTTATGATATACTTAATATTTTAATTTTATACATACGGTCCCGCCATACGTTTTATTATAGATTCAGCCGTTATAAAATGAAACAATAAAACATATTTTTAATTTTTATTTAATAATGAATATAAATGATGAAAATGCGATGTACAAGATTTTATTAGAAAAGGTCACCTTGCTTTCACACAAGACCTCAAACGATCAGGGTTATTGATCAATTGCAATTAATGCACAGTTGCGTTATGTTGACGACGCTGCTCGAACCAAAAATTTTGACACTTCCAAATTTCTGTGGGGTTTTCGATAAGCCTGTTTTCCAACCTGACGACATATCAGGTCAATCCAGACTCATACTGCCAATCATCCGCTGGATAAGAAACCAGGAATACTGTTTAAGTCACTGCTAGAGGTTTCGTCTTGTGTGCACAAAGATATATTGCTGAACTGTTTATGCCAAAGACAGACATATGGTGGCCGTAATATAATGTGTACCAATAAGCTCAGAAACCACGTACCATATCATACAAGTTGTGCGACATATTCTATAAGTTTGGCATTCATCAGCTGAGGCAAAAAGTTAGTAACCAACTAAAGAAAATAAATCTAAACAGAAGAAAACAAGTTACTCTAACAGAAAATAATCTGATTTATTTATTACCTGATAAGGAAATTAAATATTTACATTATCTCTACAGCAATACGTAACTGAACGAAGTA